GCGAAGATCACGATGCTGCACCAGTTTTACGAACAGTGAATGAAAGGTATCATGTGATAACATATACAAAGTTATTGTGCATCCTCTTTTGACACGTTTTTGCTATAATAGGCGGATCCAGGCGTCCAAAAAGGGGGGTTATTTTTTACCTCCCAACATAGTTGCCCTGACACCGCCTATGCATGACCAATACAATTTTAGTCGTTCTCTCATAAGAAAATTGTAACATAACAAGACCATTGCCACCCTTTTTAGAAACAGTACCAACAAAAACCTTATTTACTATACTTTTTGTGTACCCCCAATCTCAATGATCTGTATCCGCCTATGATTTTTGAAAATGCATATTTTTAGGATCCATGTGAATTCCTGGTTCATTCTCTATCGATCGGCAAAAGTTGCGTTAAGATTGGTTCAGAAACCTGGCCGTGATAAACAGTCTAAAATGTATCTACAATTTGCCCTTTTTTACCCCCCTCTACCCCCCTATTGACATTTTTTTTAGAAATGTAGATCTCGTTGAGCCAAATCGAATGCCGTTTGAATTTTGAAAATCGGCCCGTTAGATCTCGAGATATCAAGGGGGTCGTAAACAGCCCCCCCCCCCTGCCACTAATATGGGGTAGCCAGGAGCCTGCCACTAATAGGGTTAACTGGCTGCGACGCGTATTTGGAAATTCCGACCTCGACGAGCGTTTGTGGTAGAAAACCACCACTTTGGTAGGAGAAACTACTGCTGTCTGCTACCATTTGTACCACATGTCTCGCTATAGTTGCGACATCTATGCGTAAACATATAAACGGACGCCATTTAATTGCGTCCCAGAAAAGCTATTTCTGGCACCTAAAAGCTGACTCGCCCCAAAATTGGTTCTCAGCACCTATTTGTTGGATACCAGCACCAATCATGGAAAATGACCTTAATTAGCTGTTTTTGGCACCTATTCATCGGTACGCCTTACTCTTTTTTCTGAATCTGGCACCTAAATGCTGAGCGTAGCACCAATCTAGTAGAAAAATGAACTACTGGCTGGTAGAATCATGTTGTTCTGGTATAATGACCCCTGGAGTCTAGTCTAAAGGTTGCCAGTGCAGCTACACTCTAAGACAGCCCCGTAGTGATCTCAGCATTGTATATGACGTTTAAGTAAGCAAATAATATTGATTTGTTTGAAAAAACAATGTCATTTAAATATTTAAAAGTATTTATTTGTAATGCTTCAAGGGAAACATTTTTGTGAGTAATTGTCTCGATTTTGACCATTAAAACGGGTATTGTATTTTTTGACGTCATCAAATAGCTCCAAAAAAGAAATGTAACGTTTTCATTCCGTTCAAGGCCGCTGAAGAAACGCGGGATCTCACGTGGGACATTGTCCGTTGTTTGCCGCGCATAGTTGTGCCGTGGTTGTGCCTTTTTCGTCCGTTTCTTACTTATGTGTGCATGAAGCTTTGATTTTGTTTTTGGTTATTGTGTGGCCGGTCAGTCAAACGCCCCTGTAGAAACCGGATGCTGCGTTTGATCGAGATGGAGTCAGACGATGATTGCAGAAAGCTAATAATATTGAAAAGAGGGCCGGTTGCGCGGCATGTCTGTTCAGAGTTGACATTTTGCTTTACTCCAGTTTATGACCTGAGTCCTGAGAGCCTGGCCGGAAGTGACGGATCCAAACTTTTCACGTTAAAATGGCTGAGGGTGCAATAATCTCTACATAGCGGGCTGGTATATGAGCGTCTTGCTATGCTGCACCATAGCACTGGCGAAAATGGCACTTGACATCACCGAATGCAACGTTCATGTTTGTTAGGATACATTAAATCAGGAAGATTACGCGAATTAGGTAAGCAAACGTGGAATAAAATAGGTGCTGGATGTTTTGGTTTTGGTGCTGAATCAGCAAACAGCAAATACGGAGTTCAACTAGACGATCTGGCAACTTTAGGCTGTGTGGAAGCAATTAGGTGCCAGATTCAGATATTAGGGTCGAATAAGCATTTTGGGGCTGATCAGCAATTAGGTGCCAGAAACAGCTTTTTAGGGACCAGAAACAAATATTCCCCCATATAAACCGCAACACCCGTGTGCGCTGATTCTAGTCAGGCCCATGTCGTCCCCTATCTCTCTGCGTGTCCACTAACACGAATGACGTCACGCATGTGGGCGGAGCTATGGGCGGAGCCTAACGCACGCGGCAGTCCAAGCCGCCATATTTGAATTTATATTTTAATAGAATCTTGCCGATATTTTGGGTAAAGTCAATTTATATGGATAGCTTGGTGACAGTTTAGCTATACGAATAATAATTTATTATGGATGTGCGTATATTCAGCTTGGAATTGCAATTAAAGTTCCGCACCGCATAGATTCGAACTCGGGACCTTTGGAATACTGCGCGGGTACGCTAACCACTACACTACCGCGACCGCGCGGCGGCCGGCAGCAGGGAGGCTGCGGAGACATGGGGGGACATTTTACGCTTTTGTGAAAAAAGCAAAAGATTTAGCGAAAAACACGTAATAGATAACTTGCAGAAAATTGTCTGCTCTTTTAGATAAGATACTTAAGTTTGATATATCTTGTGCAGACTTCATTCTACAGTGCTTCGAAAATCGCTCATTTACATGGGGATTGAACGGGGCTTCGAGACTTGACTCCAAATGACGTCACGAGCTGACGTCACGAAAAGGTAGAATCGCCGGACGACCCTACCTGGTATATAGGGCCTTGATTCTAGTTAGCGAGGGCATGTCCGTGAAGTTAGCGTCAGCAACAGCACCGAATACAGCGTCGGATTTAGAATCGTTTCTAAAACTTTAATGGGGGAAGGGGAGCACGAATATTACATTTAAGTTGTCCTAGCTCCCGCCCTTCATCCCTTAATCGTCCCTTAAAGGAAGGGGCGCGTCAAAAGTGCCTCTAGCGTTCGTCTGATCGCCAAAATAAAGGTCACAATCGATTCCTCGGGTCAATATCTAGCCGCAGCCTCGGGTTTCAGATGTTTGCATCTTACCCCTTTCTACTAAATTGTCCCTTAAAGGAAGGGGCAGGTCAAAAGTGCCTCAAGGGTTGGTCTGATCGCCAAAATAAGTGTCGCAATCACTTCCTTGGGTCAATATCTAGCAGTAGCCTAGGGTTCCAGATGTTAATATCTTACCCCTTACCCCTTAATCGGCTCTTAGCCCATGAGCCCCTGGGGGGCATAATGTTGCCCCCCCCTCTTTACGTTTTGTAGAATAGGTATCCCCGAAACCCGATGAGCTACGAACGTGAAACTTGGCACAGCTTCAAATGAATACCTAGGCAATGTTTGAGAAAAGTTTAGTGGTTGTAGCACTTAAGATGACGTCACAGTGACGTCATAAAGTTTTGTCGTTTTCCGATATGGACCGTTTCTGATGACGCTGAGCATGAAACTCAACTGTAAATGAACTAGACAGCACCTGCTGTCATCTTAAAACATCGAAGTACACTTCCAACTAGTTCCTGACCAATAATCGCCCTTTATATTCGGTCTCATATATCGGATATATCGCGAGGAAACTGAGAGTCGCAAATCTATAATTTGACTTCTGACGTCACTGTGACGTCATTTAAAATGCGATCGACACCAAATTTGGACACAACCTCTGCTAGGTGTTCAGGAAGATGTGTGCAGAGTTTCGTGTCTCTATCTCTTCGCGTTGCGACGATATCGTCGCAGAAGTAAAGGGGGGGGGGCAACTATATGCCCCCCCCCCAGAGGCTCGCGGGTGGCGCGGAGGCCCAGCGGCCGCCGGGTTAAAGGGACCCTCCCACCTTCAAAAAAGTTAATGAATTGGCATGAAAGTGATGTCGCTCGGTTCAGAAAGAGCAAAAATGAATATCTACCAAATTTCATCGAAAAATATTCACCGGTTTTCAAGATATAAGACTTTCACTTTTGTTTACTTTTTGGGATCTCCGCTGTTTCTAGCGACTTTATTTTAGAAGTGCGGCGTTTGCGGCAGTTGTTGCGCGCGAATAGCATATACCACCGCGTGCTACAAAACGTTTTAGTCAAACATTTAAAAATCGTTAGATCTCCGCTGACGTCACAAATTCTAAGGGGGCATACCAATGCATTAGCCCCTTAGAATCCGAAAACTGCAAGTTTGAAATTCCATATCTCCGAATTAAAGCATTTTTCGATGTTGTGAATGCCCAAACCGGTATTTTCAGGCCATGGCCACCAATTTGGCTATCTCAACTCAAAACTAATGTTAAGGTGGGAGTGTCCCTTTAAAGGAAGGGGCGCGTCAAAAACAGTAGCGGCAGCCGGTGGAACAGTGGAACACCCTCAAGCAAGGGGGGCACTGCCGACTTTTGGTCCCATTCTTTCCATGCAACGCCCAATAGGGCTAATGTTAAAATGCCAAAATCAAAGGGGGGGGGGGGGGCACGGTGCCCCGGTGCCCTCCCCGTTCCACCGCAAAGGGACTCCCCTCTCGCTTCAATGTCAGTACCATGGATGAAGTAGGTAGGTACGTACCTATTCCTAATCCATGTCAGTACCCTGCCCGTGATCCGCCAGTTGATAGGCCCGACATGTTTGTTTGTTTGTTTTGCTGGGTTAGGCCCTTTCGATCCAATTAGACCATTTCAGAGCCGGCTCGACATGTCATAAGCACTTATTCTTATTCTTTTTCCGTAAAACGATCTTGAGACTTTTACAAAGTAGAGTTCTCAACAATCGTTCAGATATCCCTAGTTTTCATTTTTAGTCGCTAGAGTAACGTGAATCAACAGCATAGAGTTGAGAATGTGCTTTTGCTACGTAAATAATAAAATGATTCTTTTTTCCATTCGTAGGTTCACAACAGCAATGAAGTAATATTCTCATTAAATCTCTCTTTCTAGTCATTGTAAAATGAAATATAAAAGTACTTGAGACGATCAGCTGTCCATGGCGCGTAAATGGCGCGGCCATTGGTCGACAAATGTAAACAATGCGGTTTTGAAACGTCGTAACGTAAATAATGGGGTTTTCCCCACACATATGGAACGTAAACCTCCCCGCCCCTTTATTAGGCCAATGTGAAGAGGCGCTTGTAATTCCTCCCCTTGCTACTCCAAGTTGCATATGTGTGGGTTTCCCCATTTTGTCTGCACAAAGTGGCCACCGGGCTCACTTCATGGGCCCGGCTTGCCTACCTCCTCGCGAGGCTAAAAACGAAAGTTGTGGCCACTAAAAAAAAAAAAAAAAAAAAAAAAAAAAGTGGCCGTTTAGTAATTGAGGCAATTACCTGCCAAGCTGCTGCGCGCCCTAACTCTTCAACAACAACAACAACGAGGCAATTACCAATTAGTTTTCATAAGTGAGGGTGTCATATCAGCCTTCCTGATGTTATTACCGCCCGCATGTCATCGTAAGTTTTATTTTAAGTCTTTGTTTCCAAAAAATTCCTGATTGAATGATTTGAAACGTTTTTTTTTGGCATGATTCATTTTTCAGATTATAATTATTGTCGATTCCACTGAGGAAGATCCAGCACGGAAAATGTACCTATTTCAATTTCGGATTTGTTTTTGGCGTACTTTAGTTATGAGCAAAAGGTTCCAGTTATTATTAACTATTTGTGCAAGCAGAATTCCTGAATGATCTATGCACTGCTCGATGAGAACGAGACAGTCACTGTCACAGTCAGGCCCAGTGGCCTACACAATTTCAGAATATGTTAGGGGGTATGGTATGGTGTGGTACGGTATGGTCTGAATATTTCTGAAGTTCAGCTGAAGCTCAATAATGTAAAAGCTGCTTGTAAGTGTCATGGTAACATTGACTTTATGGTTTCAGTATTAACGTAGTTTTGGTTTCATTGGAATGTAGTTTTCTAAATACTAGGTAGGTGTTCAAGCTTGCTAGATCTAGAAATGTATTAGTAAGTAGTAGTTAATAATGGTACATCAGCTGCCAGCTTTTTGTTTTGTATTTATCTTGGATCTCGGAGTTGTATCCATTCTCAATGCTGTAGTATTATTGTTGATTGCAAGTTGCAAGCATGTTTTAAAGTTTTAATTGTTTTTCTTGTGTAGGTAATTTTTCTAAAATGTGGAACTTTTATGCACACCTATGGAAGAGAAGAAATAAGTTGAAATGGATTCTCATTGATGGCTCTAAATGGATGATAAACACTGTTTTAGAGTCATATTTTTCGCCTATGTCAGTGATTGGAGGAAGAGGACAGTGCGCGAGGCCATCGAAATAAAAGAGAAGGATCCAGATATGAACAGAGGTGTTGGAAAATTTGCACTGAGCCCAATTTGGGATTTGCCTCTAAAAAACGCAAGATGAGATTCGTTCCTCTCATCTCTTTAGTATGAGTGGACTGAATTAAAAACTAATGACGCCGATTGTGTTCTGTGTATAACTTCTTGTCTGTGTGTTTGTATGTATTTTATAGTTAAATTTACAGCATACTTTGATAGGAAATAGTGAGTGTATCTAGATATTCTTAACTTGGAATCTCCTACATGGTTGATAGCGCGCGGGGATTTGAATTTTTTGTCTGTGAATTTAATTTAGAATTTTGGGTATCGCTGCAATGTGAGCTATACTTATAGGGTTATTTTAGTTGTCCAGTGACCAAGGCCAAACAATATTGGCCGAAATATTTGGACTTGCATACGCAATACAATCCCAGTGAATTCCGATAAAGTTTTATATCTACAAACACTGTTATCATGAGAAATTAAAAATTTGAGATCATGCTATCTGAATGCTGTTTGAATGCTCTTATATCAGCAAGCTACCAGTTTACTAGTGCTTCTTTTAGCTGCTAATTAGTCAGCTTCACCTGGTCTGTGCAGTGCACCAGGTGAGTGACAAAGAAACACGAGCAACGAAATACTGTGCAAGTGAAACCTGTCAAGCAAGGCTGCAAGCAATTCTTGGACAGTAAATGGTAAAATCAGATGCCTGCTGAGTGCTGGTAGTTTTGGACTATTGCTCCATCTCAATCTTGAAGTCTGCCTTCACTATGCTTGATGAATTCATATTTCAAGATGGACTGCCTGAACTGTCCACATCAGTCGGGGAAACTATGGTAAAATCTGCTATTTTTAGCAGTCTGCTATTTTTAACAGAAATCTGCCAAAAATGGGTATGCATGTGACGTCATCGTACCCAAATATGGCAGATTTGGGTACGGCCCCATACAAAAGCAGATCTGCACCCTAATTGAAGCAAATGCGCATCAAATGCCTGGCAGATTCATGATTAGAATAGTGCTGAGAAGTGAGAATGTCCTCTGATATTTTTGTTCAGATCCGACTATTTTCAAATAATGAATTTGAAAATAGTAGGATCTGAACAAAAATAGCAGAGATCACTCTCAGCACTATTCTCATCATGAATCTGCCAGGCATTTGATGCGCATTTGCTTCAATTAGGGTGTAGATCTGCTTTTGTATGGGGCCGTACCCAAATCTGCTATATTTGGGTACGATGACGTCACATGCATACCCATTTTTGGCAGATTTCTGTTAAAAATAGCAGACTGCTAAAAATAGCAGATTTTACCATAGTTTCCCCGACTGACATGCATCTGTATTTATCATCCACCCCCAGGATGGCAATTTGCAGACAAGGACCCTGTTTGGTCGCAGCTTTTTATCAGCAGGCTGCGAGCACACTGCTATTTGTTGGCTCCTCATTGGTCAAATTCACATAGTCTCTTTATTTGACCAATGAGAGGCCAAGAAGCACCAGCAATAACTTCCTTATAGGTATGGAAAAACCGACAGCATGCTGACAAAAAAAAAAAAAAAAACAGCGACCGAACAGAGCTCTAAGCTCTGTTCGCCCCCCGTTTATTTATCAGCAGGCTGCGAGCATGCTGCTCATCTCATCTCATTTATTTTCAACAGAAAAAGACAAAATAAGTACAAAAGTGAAACAAATAGGATTGGTGCAAAAGCGCAACGCTTAAATCAAGGCACCTCTCCTTAAAATAAACGAGGTTACAAAACATGACACCGCCGGGATCAACAAAGTGGGCCAACAAAGTGTGAACTAACTAAAAGTACAATAAAGGTGAGCGATCACTCCTCCGCTGAGTCAGCCGTGCTACTTCTTGGTTCCTCATTGGTCGAATTCAAGTGGTCTATTCGTCAGACCAATGAGAGGCCAAGAAGCGCCAGCAATAACTTCCTTTTATGGGGAAAACCGACAGCACGATGATATAGAAACTGCGACCGAACAGAGCTCTGGTTTCTTCAGACTTTGTGCATTTGAATTGCATGTTTAGCCCTTGAAATTTCATTTATTCAATTCGACACTAAGTTTTTATTTATATTAAGGGCTAACTTTCCCAATTTTTCATTTGCTACCTGCTATCCATCAACTTTCATGTAGATAATAGGTACCTACTTTGTGTTTTGAAATAGAGCATCTAATAATGCTATGAGTATCCGAAGCTGGCCTGCCTTTGGGCTGATGGGTGGGCACAAAATGACCTTAGAAGTCAGTGTGCCCCCCGCCCTAAGGCCCTAATAAACGAACAACAACAAGCCTTTGGGCTGCTTTTTGATAAAGATTGTTATTTTTCATCGGGATTCTTTTTACAAGCATCTGTGTTCCAGATCATGGGCCATCAAATTGTGTATAAGATATGTATACTAGAATTTAGGTTTGACTCGGTGGTGGGTACACAATGTGTAATATGTATTTGGTGTCCACATCAATCATATGGTATTACTGCCCTGGATTGAATATGTCAAGGGATAAAGCTGATTGAATCATGGTTCAGCCAAGCTAAGCCCAGCAGCATGGGCCTTCTAAGGACTAAGGTCATATCGGGGTCCTCTGAGACCAGCTTAGGCCCTCTGAGGAGTGAGGACAATGTGGGTCTCTCTTAGGCCTGCATGGGGCCCTCTGATGCCAGCACAGGGTCCTCTGTGGTAAGCGCGGGGCCCTCTGAGCTTGAGACCATCAGCATACATCAGCTCTGACATCAGTCTTGGGCACTCTGCCGGCCAGTGTGGGGCCCTCTACCCTCTGACTTCTGAAGCTGGTGCTGGTCCCTCAGAAGCCAGCGCGGGATCTTCAGAGGTAGCATCGGGCCATCAGAGGCCACCTGGAAGGCCTCGACAGCCAGACTTCAACCCTTATGCATACTAAGGCCCTCTGAACTCGGAGTGGGCCCTTAGAGGCCGGCATGGGGCCCTCAGAGGTCACCATGGGCTTCTAGAGACTGGCATGGGTTCTTTGAGAGCCGTGTGGGGCCATCAGAGGCTGACTCAAGGACTCAAAGGGAGGGGGGGGGGCTGAGGTCAGCATGGGCCTTATGAGGCCATCGTAGGACCTCGAGGCCGGCGTGGGTCTCTGGCTGCCGGTGTGGGGCCTTCAGAGGCCTCATAGGTCGGAGTGAGGCCCACGAGAGCGTCATGGAGCCATCAGGGCTAGAGCATTTGCCCTCATTACCCGAGCTGGTCCTTCCTTAACCCTCGCCCTGGCAGGGCATTTTTCATAACACGGCCTGGCAGCGGGGGGGGGGGGGGGGGGGGGGGGGTCGATGCGACCCCCCCTCGCGATTGGCTCCTATGGCACCTAGAAACACCAAATTTGGTAGGTAAGTGGGCCCCCCGGAGTTCTCGCCCCTGTGCAAATTTGGTTGCTCTAGGTCAATATTTAGGGTTTTTTTTGGGGGTGGGGTATAAATGTACAAATTTCGCTAAAAACAGGTCAACAGTTTTTCGCTTATAACTTTTGAACTAATTAAGATAGAGCAAAAATAAAAGCACCAGTGAACTCAGCACGTCAAGGCGCGTCGAATGATATACTTTTTAGCTTGCTTAAGTGTACTTAAAGTTTTTCTTAATTTTTAAGTAAACTTTAATTAATCAATTAAGTTCAAGTTAACTATATTGCATCATATCGCATATCATTCGATTCGGCTGATCACGAGGAACACAATGACACCATTTTTAAGCTCTAGCGTCATTATGTGCCAAGTTATTGGCAAAAACGTCATTTGACCTCAGTTGACCTCATTTGACCTGACCCATGGATAAGTACATCAAACAAAGAAGCACCAAGTGACCTGCTGTTAGGTACTGTGGTTTCAAAGCACAAAAGTGATAGAACGAAGCGAATATCTCCAGTATTTTCCGAATTTAGTATTTTTCCATAGGCTTAACATTACGACGTAATGACCTCTAACTGACCTCAGGTCAGTGACCTCAAAAAACCCGAACTATATGTTATACAACTCGGTGAACTTAGCACACCCTGAAAGTTTGAAGGAAATCAGTCAAAAAACTGTGAGCTGGACAGGTGCAAAAAGAAAATTGAAATTTGACCATGAACCTTGTACCGGTTTTTCTGACCTGGTGACCTGACCCAAAGTCACCCGGACCTGAAATTTTCAGGTCATATGTAAAAAGGTTGCCCCATAGGCTGTACCAAAATTGGCGGCGCTGCGCGCCGCCGTTTTTACGCTATCTTCGAAAAACCTTAGGGGGGGGGGGGTCGCATCGACCCCCCCTGCCAGGGCGAGGGTTAAGCAGGGTATCAGCCTTCCTTTCATTCTTGGACCACTCTTGAAGATGCATTATAAAGTATTTCCATAGAATAAATGATTAAGCTCGGGTGAGCAATTTTACAATTTGTGCAGTACATGTTGATTGCTCTTAGGCACCAGTACAACTCCCCCCCCCCCCGTTTTCCAGATCAAGTGCTGAACGAATCCTGCCTTGGCCTCTGCTGCTGAAGTCCTCGCCTCTGTATTAAGGTGAGTCTTCTCTTGCCAAACCACCACCAGCATGCATACTGAAAACTAATCTACTTGGTATTTTTTTCTTTTCAGCTGGTCAAGACCAAAAGTCTCAATAGTTCCATTTGCCTTTTACCTCATGCCTCATTTCTCATACCTACCTGTGTTGCTGTGGAATTTTGTTGACTCATCTTCTGTTGTTGGTTTGTCTGAGAGTGGTATCATCAAGATTGTTTTCCATCCTCTGTGTTTGTGCTGCAAACTTGAAGACAGAAATGCTTGAGCTGCGTTGCAAGCTACCTTTGAGTTACATTTAAACCCATTCCATCTGTTGAATGGCTGCAGCTCAAAGAAAGAATAAATATGGTGAGATCCGTGTGAGCCCATGCTGTTCTGAGCCCACGTCTATGCCCTCGGAGCCCTGGATAACTTAGTTATCTGTAGGTTTGGGTCCATTGCACGTGCAGAGACCTGTGGGTCCATATGGAAGTCGATACCTATTCTAGAGGCCATCACACTTTCCAAGGCCAATTTATCGTTCAGCGCCGTCTGCCCGTCCCCGACCCGAGATGGTTTCATGAAACAGAAGGACCTCTCCGCTCTAGCTCCGTCTGGTGGAAAGCAAAAGGACTGAAGGTACCAATCGGAACCTTTCGCAGCGGTGATTAGACTAGATATTTGCTGCTTATCGGCCTTATCACGTGTAGGATTGTCTGGGAAAAGCCGATATATGGCGCTGTGCCACTCGCCAGGACTTCACTCCCGCACTTGAACCCTAAACTTGGCAGCTACCACTGGCGGTCGGCGGCGGGCCGTGTCCGCCCCCGCGGCCGGCAGCCGGCGCGACGCGTCACAATGGTCGCCATCGAGCGAGGCGCGTCACGACGGCCGCCGGCCCGCGTCACACCTGTGTGACTCTGCAGCGCCGATGGCGATCGCCGTCACCGACAGGTGTTCCGGGTGGCGCCGTCGCGCGCCCGATCCGGGGTGATGTGGGCCTGCCGTCACACCTGGGCTGCCGGTGTGTAGGGCCGCGAGGGAGGAGCGTAGGGGCTGTCGTACGGGAAGGGATGCAAAAACCGCCGTGGGAGGAGAGTCTTCCATGGGGGTGGGGACCTTCTGAGGGTGGGAGGGCCTGCTGAGAGTGGATGGTCTGCTGAGTGCTGAGAGTGGGAGGGTCTGCTGGGGGTGGCCTGCTGAGAGCGGGAGGGCCTGCTGAGAGTAGGATCTGGGGGAGGGGGACTGCTGGGAGTTGGAGGCCTGCTGGGGGCTACGACGGAGAACTGAGAGGACATGCCACATGGGTTGTCGCAGGCACCGGTTGGTTATGGAAGGACAGTTGCTGAAGGACTGGGTCTGTTGGCTATCAAGGAGGAGGGGAGACAGGGTCTGCTGGCGGCCAGGCAAGCTTCCAGGTTATAGCTGGGGCATTCGAGACCACCGCACTGGGGATCGAACCGCCGCCCGCGCGGTGCGCTGCATGCTCGGATGGGTGTTCGATTTTTGAAGGCTCGGGCCAGTGTCTCGGCAATCCCGTGGTGAAGTTAGCTGGGAATCGATGGCTGGTGGAAGGGTTTGCCACTAGACCAAATAATCTTCACCGTTGGCTGATATAACTCCTGGCCTTGAAACACGCTTTGGCGATAATCGCTGAATTGGCCCGGTGCCGCTTACCATAAAAGTAGAACTTAGAAGGGGACACTTATCTACTGTTTTGTTCAGCTAATGCGCAAAAGCCATCAACACATGGTCTGGTGATGAAGAACACTCGAGCATTTGATCAAACGTCGTCCTTCTGACGTAAAGGATGACATTGTTTCTTCCTGGCGTCGTCTCACGTTTTGCCGGTCCTGCTCGAACATGCGCCAAGCTGATGTACTTTGCGTTTACGGCACCCTCTGGGCTCTGCTACTGCTGCTGCTGCTGGTACTATTGCTGATGCTGCTACTGGTGCTGATAATGTTCCTGATGCCGATCGCCGACGGCCGTGGCCACGCCGTGTCCCCGTCGTGTCCTCGGCTTGTCAACAGCGTGTCACAGGCGAGCTCGGTGCGTGGCGGCCGGAAGCTCCTAACGAACGGGCGGCGGTGGCAGCGGCTCTGCAAGACGCAGTGCCCGGCGGACGTGGCACCTCGGACAGATGCTATCTGACCGCGGGCCTTCCTGTGTCGGCGTCGCACGACGCGCGTCCCTCCGTTGGACCGCTGTTCGTATACGATATCTAACGTTCCAGGTGCATTTGCATCCCTGGGTTGGTTGTATGAAACTCCCTGAGACTCCCTGGGTAGATTAAAAAAAAAAATGATTTATAAAATTTTCCTCCACGTGTCCCCCATTAGTTCTGACGATTGTAATGTTTTCATCCAATATACCTTAATTTTTCCGGTTGATTTGAATCTCTGGTTTGTTAGTTTGTGGAATTAACAGTTCCAACTGTTGATTTTCACACATTAGAAAATACGACGATGTCACATATATTTGATCAATTAAGAGGCTTAATTTCGCCGTTGCAGGCTTATCATGGCAGGTAAGCTGTCTGCATTCTTATCGCGGTGTCTCCGTTTAGAGATACTGCCATTGAATCAGTCGTTAACCAACGTCTGAAACGTCCTGGCAGGGAACGTGAAACTAGCAATGTCTAAAGCGTCACGCAAAGCGAGTAGCTGATGGAGGATTTATCAATACCTAACCTCGATATCCGCCCCCCCCCCTGAGGTTTTTCGCGAATAACGGGAAAACCGCGGCGCTACGCGAAATTTTGTACGACTATTCTCTCATCAATTCTACACATGGTGTGCAAGTTTGAACCTCCTAACTTTTAAGGTCAGGTCACCAGGTCACTTTGTATGACCCAACCTCAAGTTACTTTTTTGCAACTTTGTCACCGTGCCAGAGCTACAGTAGATGTCGGAGGCCTTTGAAAGTCGCAGGATGTTATAAGGTAATTAGTAGCTACAATTTGTCTATCTCGGAATTTTGATATCGATGACCTAAGTTCAGGTCAATTTCTCGACCTCCCCATTATAAGACAATGGGGAAAAATAAACTCCCTGTTTTTACCACTAAAACGGGTCGGAATGGCCCCATAAACCATACATGACCTCATATACGATCAGCCTTCACTACATTGAGGTCTGTTTTGCTGTTGGGCAGCTCTAAGGTCATGTGACGTCATCAAAGGTCACCAGCGGATAGCGGTTTTTTGACAATAACTCCGTACAGGAACAAGATACAGCCGCGCAGATGGTCTCATTGTGTTCAGCTCGTCAAGGCGCATCGAATGATATACATGATGACCTCGAGGTCACGTGACCTGAGGTCAACCTTTGACCTTGACCTTTCGAGGTCAACATATATATATATATATATATATATATATATATATATATATATATATATATATATATATATATATATATATATATATATATATATATATATATATATATATATATATATATATATATATATATATATATATATATATATATATATATATATATATATATAATTCGATGCGGATTGACGAGAGGATCACGATGATGCCCTTAGTTTGTTCCTATATTGACTAGTTCGAAAGTAATTCGAGAAAAACTGTCTCCATACCTAGCGCCGCCATTTTGACTTTTTTGACCCCTGTGACGTCATCTTTGACCTGACCTGAAAATGACCTTAGTAAAAATTGTAGACCTTGTCCGTGCGTATCCCTTGCCGTTTACCGCTTGTCGCTATCTTGCTTCGTTCTCGAGATCTCAGGGGGGGGGGGTCATCCCCCCGTCGGTACGAAGTTGGCGCAGACCCCCGTTGGTGCGCGTGTTAAATTGACACCGGATAGTGGGTATTTTTTCGAAAGCGAAGATGGCATCGTTTAGTATGTAATTTATTTATTTATTTTGTTTCTGTCCGTTATAGTTTTTTAGTCGTGTACACTGTATTTACACGCGACCTTTTTCATGACTTGCTAAGGACTGCTGCTAGGCTGCTACTTGCTAGACTTGCTAGGCGGGATATTTGTTCGGCGACGTTTTCTGCGTTCTGCTGAGGGTAAAATAGTCGAGAACTGTCCAGCGTTATGAAACCAAACGAATATGTTGCATTTTAAGATTCGAGTGGCAGATACGCAGGCTTGCTTGAAGATTGAATCGGCAGTTTCATGAAACAGTTAACCAGACTTTGAAATTTTTAACTGTTAGTGTACTTTTCCATTGCTGTTGCTTTCAATCAAAGTTGCATGATGATAAAAATGCCAGGCATGTGGATTGAGAGCTTTCTAAGAATGACTGTCCTCTTCATCCTGTTCTGCGATTAAATGAAGCCCAGTCGCGATAAGATAACAGTGCACTGTGCAGGCAAGGTGTTTGATCACCTGACCGGACACAGTGCGAGGATTGAAGACTGATTATTGTTTCACGGTTGTCCTCTGAGATTGGACTGTTAATTTTCTTTTTACCTGCAACAGGTTAAAAAAGGACTCACTTTTATTCGCAATCAATGCGTGCTGGCCTCTTAGTAGTATGCGCTGGGAGATTGATAGATGGTTAGTGGAATATTTCCTAGATTTGAACTGCCGCAAGCCATTACCAGGTTTTACTCGCGATCGCTGAACTGGCTATGAACCAACTGTAGAGACATTGAACAAGAACATTGCGACTATCAGGTATCCACTGCTCTTGGGTCGTTATAGCAGAAAATACGCAGTCAGTTTGACGCGTCAAGTTGCCTGCGAGTGCCCTGAGCCACGTCCAATGTCCATCAATGTTTATTTTGTAATTGCCAATGTGTATCCGTAGTGTGCAAACTAAGAGCTGAACATCATGAGAAAGCTCAACACGTTTCAAGATAGTCGTGCAAGGTTTGTCGCACTTCAAGTCAGCCGCTTTGGCGCGTATTCAGTTTTGTGAGCGAACGATTTTGAGGAGAATTTAATGACTGAGGTCAGCCGTATGCGTCATTCGGCCCATACGCGTCGCTGGACTATGACATTGTAATCACAGGACATTGTCTAACGCTTTGCGGGT